CGCCAAGAGCTAGTCTAGAGAGTCCCAAAAATGAGATTCTAAGATTTATAACTATCTTGTCGCCCTAAGAACCTCGATAACCTCCGTGACATCCAAGAAAATATCGAGATAACTTACCAAGCGTACATTAATGTGGACGGTGTCACTAGAGCCAAGGTCACTTTCTATTTCTTCTAGTACACGATAAGAAACTAATAACACCTTGCCTAGATGGTAGGGTTACACGACCCCAAACTAGAGCCAATGTCACTTTCTATTTTTTCTCATCTAAATCGGATAAATATCATCTATCAACTTTTAAACGTGTTTAATAAATTAAGATTTAAATTTTTTTAAAAAATGAATCTTTATCTTAAATATAAAAAAAATTAGAAAAAAAAATAATAATATAGAAATGTGTATTAAAAGAAAAAGTAGATTTGATTGGATGAGAATAATAGGGTGGGCCCATAATTTGGAATAGAAATAGAAGATTGAGGCACAGTGGGTCCCATCCTTTTTTACTGGGAGAATATTTTATTTGATTAATTTCGTGGAGAATATGCAAACTCAGCTCATGTCTCTCTCACACATTATTCTCACGATACTTTGTTCGATATTCGAGGATTCTAGGACTAAGTTTAGTTCAACACGACTTTCCACAATAGTATGATATTGTCCATTTTGAACATAAGCTCTCATGATTTTGCTCGACTTCCCCATAAGACCTCATACCAATAGAGATAGTATTCATTGATTATAAACACATGATCATTCCCTAAATTAGCCAATATGAGACTTTCATTCAACAATACCATGTTTCAAAAATACTCATGAACTTTTCAAAGTAACATTAAAACATTTGTAGATCATTTACGAGAGGCTGATAGATGGTTTTCGTACATATATTGACTGTAAAAAAATTTTTTATATATAAAAGTAGGCAGTAATGCTAGCTTTAAAATTTTATGGGTATTTTAAAAATAAAGTACTGACGCTTCCATCAAAAAATGTATTATTAAATTTTTTTGAAGAGCTATAAATTTATTTATTTATAAATAAAATAGTATTTTTATAATTATAAATTGATATTTTTATTGAATTTTGTTTTATATGATTAGATTAGAGAGAGATGGAAGAGCATATCCATATCCTTTCTTTTGCTTCTTTCTTTCTTTAATATTATTCTTCTCTTTTGTAGCTTTTCCCCTTTTTTGTATCTCTCTTTGAATATTCCCAATTCCCATGCATGCAACCAACGAAAACAAATTTTAAGGCATCTCTTTTCCCCTTTTTCTTTTGAAAAAACGATGCCGAGGTCTTAGCGTGTCAAGGCAAACCATCGAAGAAACAGTGTAGAAGAGTCTCGACATATAACGTCGTTATAAACGCTACACATATATAGAGAACGTTTGTAGGATGAAGTAGAAATTGGTTGGGTAGAAACATAGTTAAATCGTTATTTCGTACGGTTTACATCTTTGCATTATTGTTTGATACCTCATAAGAAATACTAACGTTTTTGTTCGGTTGTACGAAGACATACTGGGAATCGACCCCTAAGTGATGGTACGTGCCTCAATGTTGATCCAAGTCTAGGGAAAAAAGGAGGAACACCAACCCTATGACGAGTGCGACTATAGCCGTCGAGATGGATCAACTCCTTCGAGATGACTTCATAATAGGCGTCATCCTAGTGAATAAGGCCAACGAAAACTAGGCACGAACATCTCACTTTCATGGATGCCTACTCGTGTAATAAATAAATTAAGATGCACCCCCAAGCTAAGAGCACACCTCCTACATCATATGGACATGTCATTCAAGTTGAAGAACGTTGGGTGGCCTACCACGGTATAGCGAACAAGCTCTTCATCCACTATATTAGATGTAGTATAGAAGTGTAACAATTCATGTCCATGATTTAAATTAGGATTCGAAATTCAAATTCGGTACCTGATGGCTCCGACATTCCCCTGCATCTCCTATGACATGGTCACGTTACTTATTCCTTGCTTTTAAGAGTGAAGATTGTCCTTATATGCGTTTTTCCAACATGTTTTGTCCCGCTATTGTTCTCTTTAGGCTTTCCCTTTCGGGCTTTCTCTCAAGGCTTTAAAATGCGGCTAGGGAAAAGGTTTCCACATCCTTATAAATGGTGGTTTGTTCTCCTCCCCAACCAATGTGAGACATCATAATCCACCCCCTTTGGGGCCCAACGTCCTTACTAGCACACCGTCTCGTGTCTACTCCCTTTCGGAGAACAACGAGAAGGCTGACACATCGTCCGGTGTTTGGCTCTGATACCATTTGTAACGACCCAGATCCACTGCTAGCAGATATTGTCATCTTTGGGCTTTCCCTTTCGGGCTTCCCCTCAAAGCTTTAAAACACGTCTGCTAGGGGAAGGTTTCCACTTCCTTATAATGGGTGTTTTGTTCTCCTCCCCAACCAATGTGAGACATCATAATCCACCCCCTTTCGGGGTCCAGTGTTCTCGCTGGCACTCTTTCCTTCCTCCAATCGATGTGGGACCATCCCCAAATCCACCCCCGTTGGGGCCCAACGTCCTTACCTCGTGTCTACCCCCTTCAGGGAGCAGCGAGAAGGCGCCCAACGTCCTTACCTCGTGTCTACCCCCTTCAGGGAGCAGCGAGAAGGCTAGCACATCGTCTAATGTCTGGCTCTGATACCATTTGTAACACCCCAGATCCACCACTAGCAGATATTATCCTCTTTAGGCTTTCCCTTTCGGGCTTCCCCTCAAGACTTTAAAACGCATCTGCTAGGAAAAAGGTTTCCACACCCTTATAAATGGTGGTTTGTTCTCCTCCCCAACCAATGTGGGACATTACATCACCCATCATAGAATTGCTCCAACCAAAACATACTTAAACTATGGAGTTTCGATGATTAAGCCACTAAAAAGGAAGGTGCACCTTGTTTGTATAGGTAGCAACTTTCAATTATTTTAAGCCTTTTTTAGCTATTCTATTTTCTTGATCACTTTCATTCGAATTTGGTCATTGTTCACTCATGTATCCCTCATTTACTCGAGTATCATATGAGTATGATATTGTCTACTTTGAGCATAAGCTCTCGTGGCTTTACTTTTGGTTTTTCCAAAAGATCTCGTGCATTGGGATACTTCCCTGTTATGATAAGTATAGGCGCGTGCATTACGATATCTATGTATGCTATGATATTATGTAGACTTCTTTCCCTTTGTGACTCTAGCAGCGTGAGCATGCGTTAGCTAAAGAGCAAGCTCACATGGGTACGAATGCTTCCGCATTGTGGGTCTATGTGCGCATACATGAGCCATGCGTATAGAAGTATATAGATCCACTTTTATCCCGGATTGAAAAGCAGAGTTCAAGGCTGGGAAATATTTTTATGAAATGATAGATCTTAAAAATGATTGCATGTGATTGCATTTTCTGACCTCAATTGTGGAATTACTTACTAAGTATTTCTTAAAATAATTAAGTCTCGTGCTACTTTTATTTTTCAAGTAAAGATAAGGCACCTATGTATGGATGATGATGTCGCAGTGACGGTCATAGAACTAAAGATTTCAGGTTGTTTATAACCTTCCCGTTAGATCAAACATTATTTATTATTTTTCATTTAAAATTTCAAGTTATTTATTTTTTCACATTATTGTTTTTAAATATAAATATTTTATCACAAACGTTTAAATTCATAACATTGTTCATGAAATATTTTTAAACCAAAAGTAAAGAGATGGGGGGTTTATGCTCAAAGTATACAATATACTCATGTGATGCCCGAGTAAATGAAGGGTGCATGAATGAACCGTGACCACATCCGGATGAGAGCGATCCTGAGGATAGAATAGGACAAAATGTACCTTCATTTTCAGTCGCTCAATCATAAGAACTCCATATTTAAGTGTGTTTTGCTTAGAGCAATTATATGTTCGGTTACCTTTTCAAAATTTTCCTAAGATGTATGTGAGTGAGGATAAAGCATGTTGGAAGGACTCGTGTTGGTCTGTTGTGATAGTTTTCACTCTTAGAAATAAATAGTAAGTAACATGAATCTCAGTATTGAATGTCGGAGAATACCGGAGCCATCAGGTATTGAATCTCGATCCCAAATCTTGATTTGAATCCTGTGCATGGATCCTTTTAGTAAGTGCATACTCAAATTTAGTTCAATTCATCGATGATCACAAATCCATTTGGCTGAGGCCTTTGGTGACCTCGGCTCCATGGTACACTAAATGAATGTAACGGCTAACCCCAAGAAGATCTAGGCAGTCTTCAAACTCAAGATCCCAAACATTGTGAAATAGTTGTAGTGCCTTAAAAGAAAGATCACAACATGAACTAGTTTGTCTCCAATAGCCACTTACAAGGGCTTTCCATACTGCCAAAATGTTGAAACGACAAGAAAGTTTTTGACTATCAATAAAGTTACCAAATATAACATATTCGCCTAATGTTTCGTCTCTTTCCCGAGACTAAAGATGAGAAAGAGATAGAGAGCGTTTATTTATACTATGAAATAGATGATGCTAGAGACATTCTATCATATCGACATTTTATCATATCAAGTATGGATAGAGTTTAAGTTTCATGTTGAGTTCTAAATCGTTTAGAATTCAAGCACATCAAGCTCAAACTCTTTCATTCGATAGAATATTAATCTTGATCTATCTGCATAGAAAGAAGTGCTAATATGCATAGAAAGAAGTAGAAGCACTGATTACAAAGACAACCCAACTCAATATAGATGTGTACGAGAAAAGATATATCAAGAACAAAGATTTAAAGTAGAAATTTCTACCTCCTTGTATCTGAGTAGAGTTGATGACGGGGTCAAAATAAGAACCGCATCACTCCAATTTCATGAATTTAGTACCATTGATATGGTATGCATTCTAACATAATAGTTGATATGGTATGCACTCTAACCTAATAATCGTTCATAACCATGAAACGAAAACAAAAAGTGTAACGAATTCGTTAGAAAAAGAGAGAAGGAAAAAAATATTGATCTTGCAATTTCGATTCCATTGCTTTCTCCTGATAATATTGGATGGATGTTGAAGATACAATAATTAGAGGCCTAATGATCTAATGTTCTATTCAATAATTTTTTTGAAAGAAAACAAAAAATACCCAAAAAAGGGGGAAAAAGCAGACTACCCAATATTTTGTTACACCTGCTTATTGCGTACGAATGCAATATATTGAATGCATGCATTACAAGGTTGATATTTTCTTTAGGACCAGAGACAATACAATATTATAGCTAAAACACTTTAATTTACTTTATACTACTTTTCAAGTCCTCAGAAATCTACTAATTTACACTGATCGTGGAAAGGCGATTTCTGCAGGCTGTTGTAGCGTTTTCCTCCGTGCCATTATTCCTTAACCGTGCATGTGCACCTGCGCTGATGCTCGGTGAGTTCCTGTTGGGTTTCAGGGGATTTCAGTTAGTTGAAATTTCGAGGTATTTGAGTTGTAACTTTACAGCTCTAATCGAGCAAAGTGATATAATTCTGCTACAGATTAGTATTAGGAATCACGACTCTGTACAATGGTATGATAATTGTCCACTTTGAGTATATGCTCTCGTGGTTTTGCTTTGGGCTTCCCCAAATGACCTCATACCAATGGAAATGTATTCTTAAATTAGCCAATGTGAGACTCCCTCGTACACTATAGAGCCTCCCCTAAGGCCTATGGAGCCTTCGAACAGCCTCCTTTTAATGGAGGATTGACTCCATCTCTGGAGTCCTCGAACAAAGTACATCATTTGTTCGACACTTGAGTCACTTTTGACTACACCTTCGAGGCTCACAATTTCTTTGTTCGACATTTGAGGGTTCTATTGACATGACTAAGTTAAGAGCATGACTCTAATACCATGTTAGGAATCACGACTCTAATATCATGTTAGGAATCACGACTCTGCACAATGGTATGACATTGTCCACTTTGAGCATAACTCTCGTGGCTTTACTTTGGGCTTCCCCAAAAGGTCTCATATCAATGGACATGTATTTCTTTACTTATAAACTCATGATCATTCCCTAAATTAGTCAACGTGGGACTCCCTCCCAACAATCCTCACAGTATCAGCCGTTTTCGTATAACCTATTGAACAATCTAGGACAGCATGTAGTTCAGTTGCATACCTGAATCTGCTTTTGAAGGAATTTGACATACTCTACTGCTTCTTCCAACATATCCGCAGTGTTTGTTTGCTGCAAGAAGATCGAAAATCACAGAACGATAATTATATTTCGGCTTCGTCAAATATAAGTTTCACAAATTCGATAAAGCAAATCTTGGTTTCAGGTTTATAAGTTAATTGATATAATAATTTCTTTTTCAATATCAACAGAATGCAGATATAGTCTCAGAAGAGTTACAAACACCATGAAGAAAACCCATGTTTACAGCAATTTCTCTTTTGGGTAATTAGTTTACAGATAGATAGGATCAGAGTGGGAAATGAAGAATTTAAAGAAATTAAAGAAACTAAAGGTGTGAGATCCCATGTCAGTCGGGGAGGAGAACGAAACATTCTTTATAAGGGTGTGGAAACCTCCCCCTAGCAGACGCGTTTTAAAAACGTTGAGGAGAAGCCCGAAAGAGAAACTCCAAAGAGTACAATATCTGCTAGCGGTGAACTTAGGCTGTTACAGACAGTATTAGAGCTAGACAAGCGAGAAAGTTGAGCCCCGAAAAAGGGTGAACATGAGGCAGTGTGCCGACAAAGACGCGGGTGGATTGGGGGGTCTCACATCGATTAAAGAGGAGGAACTAGTGCCAGCAAAGATGTTGGACTCCGAAGTGGGGTGGATTATGAGATCCCACATCGGTTGGGGAGGAGAACGAATTATAAGGGTGTGGAAACCTCTACCTAACAGTGTTTTAAAAACCTTGAGTGCAAGCCTAGGACAATGTCTGCCAGCGGTGGACTTGAGATGTTACAAAAGGCTTATTATATGCATTAACTCATGACACCCTTCGAGTAACACACATGGATTTCCCTCAGCAATAAACTCCACGGTTTCTTTCTTGAGGAATATCTTAATTCCTTGCCACAGTAAGCACAAAACTAACCTACTATATATACATATATATATATATATTGCTTTCATTTATTTAAATATGTTAAAGATTTTTATTGTAATATTGAATATTGAAATTTGATTTATTTAAATTAGATTTGCAAAACATTACATTAGAATATAATTATGCTTATAAAATATTAATGAATTTATTAGGATGATTTACATTTTTTAATAAAAATTATATAAAAAAATGAACAATTATCTATTAAAAAAATCTGTAAAATGATTTTTTTTAATAGGAAATATATATAAAAAAAGGGAGCTCATTTGATACCCACCAAAATAAATGAGAGAATTTCACAAAGATCGAGATTGAAATAGGTGGCGAGGATAGAGATGAAGAAGCCTCTCCGAACCCTACTATAAACATCCCTATGGAAAAGAGATATGCAACATATAGGGATGTCTATGACGGCCTATTTCAATTTTCATTCATGCAAAATTCTTTATTTATTTTGGAAGAAATGAGTTACGAATTCTATTTGCGGAATTGGAATTTTCCCCCATCTTTTTATACATTTTTATAAAAAAGAAAAAAAAAATTAGTTACAATGATTTTTTTAATGGATAATTTTCATTTTTCAATATAATTTATATTAAAAATAAGTAAAACATCCTAATAAAACTTCAATAAAATTTCATAAGCAAAAAAATATAATACAAAACATCCTAATAAAACTTCAATAAAATTTCATAAGCAAAAAAATAATACAATGTTCTAACATAATTTTTAAAAACACAAATTTTAATATTACACATATTATTCCATATTGAGAAGGGCGGGGATTTGGCGAGGATGGGGAATATAATCCCTATACCCTACCCCATTTAGAGGAGAAAAAAATCTTTTCCCACTCCCTCCTCATTCCTATTTGTACAAAGATTCCTCATCCCATTTGAGGGATAAATGGACATCTCTAGCCACATAAGTTACTCACCAAGTTAGTAAAACACAATCACACAATTTTTTTCATTAGTCAACTAATGGTCAAATGGAACCGCTTAAACCATTTTCTTAACTTCATGGACTAAAATGTTCCTTATGAAGATAAGTGAGATCCTATATTGGTTATAGAGGGGAACAAAGTTCCTTATAAGGGTGTGAAAACTTCTCCCTAATAGACACATTTTAAAATCCTTGGAGAAAACTCGAAAGAAAAAGCCCAAAAAGGACAACATCTGCTAACAGTGAACTTGGGCTATTACAAGGTCAAACTCAAACAAACTCAAACCTGAGAAGCGATTGGCCTATAAATATTCAACATTCCATCCTTGATATAAGTTATGGATTGTAGGCTTTCAAAATCACATTAGCATGCCATGACTGCCTCATATAAATGCATACTTCCATTCATACTCACATGTGAACATATAGACAAACAGATGCCTATATTCAATGTAAATAATCCCAGCCACACGTCCAATCTTAAGCTAACATACTTGCCACCCCGTTTAAAACTAACTCTAGTAAAATTTTGTAAGATCCCGCATCATTTTGGGAGGAGAACAAAACACCATTTGTAAGATGTGGAAACCTCTCCTTAGTAAACACATTTTAAAACCTTGAAAGGAAGCGCGGAAGAAAAAACCCAAAGAGGATAGTATCTGTTAGTGGGCTTGGGCCGTTATAGATGGTATCAGAACCCAGACACCGGACAATGTACCAGCAAGGAGGTTGAACCCCGAAGGTGGGTGGACACGAGGTTGTGTGCCAGCAAGGACGCTAGCCCCAAAGGTGGTGGATTGAGGTCCCACATCAATTGGAGAAGGGAACGAGTGCTAGCGAAGACGCTGCCCCGAAGGAGGTGGATTGTGAGATCCCACATTGATTGAGGAGGAGAACGAAACATCTTTTATAAGAGCGTGGACCCAAAGAGGACAATATCTAGGACTTGGGCTTGGGCCGTTACAAATTTGGTAAACTTTAAAATTAAAATGAATGAAAGAGATGACCTTCAGTTCAAACCACACAATACTGTCCCCATTACTCAATTAATTATATACATGTTAGACTTAATTAGCATAAAGTAAAGTTCTAGCCAAAACAGAAGCTAAGAATGGAATTCAGGGCAGAAACTGGAAGAAGAAACACATGGCAGTACAAAATACAGTCATTTATCAATATATATCACATGAGATAAATCTAAATTCGTCCCTAATGATCAATCATGATACAATTTACCTTATCCATGTTGGGGACAACCTCCTGAAGCTTCCTTATTCTGTCACTAATTCTAGTCCTACGAACCTACCATCAAGAAAACAAACAATAAGTAATAGAAATACCTTTTGTTGTGTGTGTTTTGTTCACAAGACATACTGCTTAGTCTAATGATTAATACTTTAACACAAAAAGGAAAAGCCCGAAGAGACAATATCTACTAGGGTGGGCTTGAGCCGTTACAAATGGTATCAGAGTGTCCCACATCGATGGGAGAAGGGAACGAGTGTCAGGTGGGTGGATTGTGAGATCGTACGACGGTTGGGGAGGAAAACGAATAATTGTTTATAAGAGTGTGATAGAAAACATTTTAAATCGAAGTTTCAAATAGACACAAAGGCAGAGCTGAGATGATGAATGATCAGAAGAGGCAAGGAATCCATGTCGAATTATTACAGTGAAGAATGTCACAGAAGTTATGAACAGGTGAGATTGGGTATTGAAAAGTGGAAGTTGAAAGAAGCAATTAGTCAACGAAGATTTAGGCGAAAAGGAACTAACCCTCTCAGCAATGCTCCGAGGATGCGTCGCACAGCCACGCTTGGCCCTCACACGGCAGGGCACGGAGTCCTCCAATAACTTCTCCATTTCCATGTCTATCAAACTCGATACTCCACTTCCTTCCCTTTTCTGCCAAAAACGAAACCAAAATAAACTTCTAATCGGGAGACCATAATCAAAACAGAAGTAATCCGAAATCAAATCGTTTCAAATCCTCAAGACAGGGAATCGCGAAACAGAGGTTCGAAATAAAATGATTACCAGTTGCGGTGAAAATTTGGGCGGGAAGTTCTGCGCGTCGACTTCTCTCCCCCGCTTGGAAGTGGGAGAGATCTCGAGTGCGGCCGAGGAATTGATAGCATAGGAAGAGTAAAATCCTTCCCCGATTCCGGAGGCGCCGAGAAACTCAGCCGGAGAGCTATTTTGCCTCTGGAAACCAGCGGAGGGATTGGGCTCGAACAAGGCCTGATCCGCAGGGGAGTCTAGGTCGGAGGAGTTTCCAGCGAGAAGCTGAGTCAAGCACTGATTAGGCCTGAGTAGGTCCTCCTCCTCGTCCTCCAAAAGCGCTTCCAACCAAGCAGCCGGAGCAGAGCGGAAGCGAGCAAGTCCGCCGCCGCTGCTACGACTGCCAGTAGCACCACCAGTTGTGGATTGCATCTGCTTCACGGTGACTGGCTCAGGAGATTTCTGCTGAATTTTGTAGTTTTTCGTTATTTCTGGAAGAGAAGAAAAGGAAAACTCCGCCGCTGCTTTTGGTGGAGAAATTCTATCTTTGGAAAGGGTCACTCACAGGGACCAGATTGTTCCTCCTCTCGGCTCTTTTCGACAGTGGAAACCAATCCCTGATCCTCTGCTGCTCACGTGTACGGTAACACCCCTTCTCCACCGCTTGATCATACTGCCATCATCTCATCCGTTCGTCACTGCGCGCGATCAACGGTGATTTTGCAGATGTGGATGACGTGTTCACGGGAATTCCGTGTAAGAAGAAAATAAAATGGCAAGGTTGAGGGTTAAGTGTTAAAGTGTTACGTCATTAATTTTTCTGGATTTGATCAAACTGCCTTGATTCAATAAACGCTTCTCCCACGCGATTCTTAGCGCGTCACTCCACCTTCTCAACTAACTTATTCCCTTATTTTTTATTATTTATATTAACAAATTTTGTTTTTTTCAATTTTTTAAAAAATTATTACTTGCGAGGATAACTCTCATAATAGCTCGAAATAAACAACGTGATTAGTTCGCTGGAGACCTAAGAAATGCACGGGTCCCACTATTAAAATTGGATTTCAAATCCAAAGCCAGAAATGGTCCGACTTGATCGACTTAAATAGAGTTTCCGACTCAGGGTTCGGTTGTTCTTTTTTCTTCGTTATTTTTTTAAATCATTCTTATCCACCGTACATGTTTATATCTAACATCAGTTATAAATGTTATATATATATAATTAGGTTGGTTTGTAACTCTATTTTCAAGTTAGTCGGGTTGACTCGATCAAAAAATAACGACTCATAAGTAAAATTATAAGAAAACGATGACCGAAAAATTTAACTTGTAGTTATTGTTGAATGATGAAAGTCGCACATCGGCTAATTTAGAGAATGATCATGGGTTTATAAGTGAGGAATACTAACTCCATTGGTATGAGGCCTTTTGGGAAGCCCAAAGCAAAGCCATGAGAGCTTATGCTCAAAGTGGACAATATCATACCATTGTGGAGAGTCGTGTTCGTCTAACATGGTATTCAGAGTCATGTCCTAAACTTAGCCGTGCCAATAGATTGGCAAATCCTCGAATGTCGAACAAAGAACTCCAAAAAAGAACTGGGAAGTATATACCTAGATTTTTAATTTTGTATTTACCTATTCGATAATTAAAAAAAAAATCAAATTAATATGTAAAATTTTAAAAAACTCTGATAATTTGAAATTTATTAAAACCTAAATATAAAAGTAAAAATATTAAAAAATGAGGTTTTTAAAATTGAATAAAATAATTAATGAGGAAAATGGGGTGTAGTACAGTCGCGATGAAGGGCGCGTGGAAAAGTTGAGAGGGTTAAGATTGAGTGAGCTTTATAGTATTTGTAAAGAACATAGAAATGTTTGTATTATTTAGGGTAAAGTTAAGGAAAGAAACAAAGAAAGAAGTGAAGCATTAACATTCATGTTCACAACAACCTTTTGCTTTTAATTTGGGTCTCCACTTTCATTCCCTTTTAGTGCCTCCTATCCTATCCCATCCCATTTCGGAGATAACGACTCTGTTTTTCTACTACAATAAAGTCGTTACTACATGCATGACATGACTGTTAAATGCGGAAACATTCATTTAAAATAGTTCATAAACGATGTCATGACTTAAACGTTCGAAGTAAAATAAATGATGTGACGTTTGTAACATCATTTGAAAAGTAAAAATAATGTTCTAACCTAACCTAAGGCTATAGAATAAACAAAACGCCACTACCCTAACACTTGTTTCATGACCTTCATCCCGACGTCGTTGTCATCCATACAAAGGTGTCTTATCTTTACTTGAACTGTAAGAGTAGCACATGATTTGAGTATTTTAAGAAATACTCGATAAGTAACCTCACTATTGGGGTCGAAAAATGCACACACATGCAACCGTTTGGGCAAAGTTGAATGCGTAGTACTTCTCTATACATGACCTACGCGTGCAAGCACTTGCTAATGAACTCTTGCCAAACATCACAGAGGGGAAAGGGTCTGCATAACACTGTGGCGAACATAAATGTCGAAAATCATAAGTCGTAATGTACGTGTCCGTACTCATCATATTGGGAAGTATCCCAATGCACATAACACACAAATATACATGAGGTTCCCATAGCTTATAATCACGACATAATATACCTTATAATCACGACATAATGTATGATGTAAGACAAACCTTCATTTATCTATAACATAACAAATCTATGAATTATGTTTACATAATTCCTATGCATTCTATAATACATAGCATAGTATAAGGAATTTTATGCCTCCTAGATTATCAATTCCATAAAATTTTACACAACATGATATGGTAACATCATATCATAGTTTTTATACATGATATAGCTTATCATGACATAACATAGCAAAACATGGCGTAACATAGCATAACATGACATGACATGACATAATATAACATACAATTGCATAACATATCAATCATATATATGACATGTGCAGGGGCCACAGGACACATGTCATCATATATAATACAATTCATCCAATCAAGCCAAATAGTACAACCTACGCCAGATTATTTTTAAGCGTTCTCAACTTAGTCGATAACCCTCTCACCTTAAGTATCAGTTTTATACGTTCTCAACTTATCTTTAAGCATCAGTTTCAAACGATTGAATCTCCCATTTTTTCACAAAATCTTTCGAGAAATAACTCGAACATAAAACCAAGGCTTGTGGGAGTCTCTATTTATGAAATCCCACATTAGTTAAAAGAAAACAAAACATTCTTTATAAGGATGTGGAAGTCTCTCCCTAAAATATGCATTTTAAAAACCTTGAAAGGAAGCTCGAAAGGAAAATCCTAAAGAGAATAATATTTGCTAGTTGTGGACTTAGGAAAATCCTAAAGATGACAATATTTGCTAGGAGTGGACTTGGGCTATTACAAATGGTATCATAGCTAAACACCAATTGGTATGCCAGTGAGAATACTAGACCCTAAAGAGGACTGGACACCGACTGGTGTGTTAGCGAGAATGCTGAGCCTTGAAAGGAGTGGACACAAAGCCCCAAAGGGAAATGAATTGTGAGATCCCATATCAATTGAAGAGAGAAACAAAACATTCTTAGGTTTTGTTAAGATGTCTGAGAATAATATGCCCGAGAATCAAATAATTGTATTTGGTATTACATGCGAATGCTCCCTGGCTAAAGTATATCAGAAATCCAACAATCATTCGAACCAAGCCTAAAGTATATCATCTATATGTTGCTTTTCAAATACAAACTTTTCATATTTACAACCTTAAAATTTGGAATAATTTAGCTCCAAAAAGATGGGAAGTCAAGGTCACCTGTTATAAACGTGGGATTTGGCAACAAAAAGGAAGGCAATGAAGCTAAGAACACTAAGGGCAGCCAGTAGGAGGTAAAAGTAATCAAGATGAGCCTTGTTAAGGTTGTCGGGAAACCAGCTCAGATGCCCATTGCCTTTAGTAGCTGAATCAATAATTGATATCAAAAGGCTACTTAAAATGCTACCCATTCCAAGGATACTCATGAAAATGGCAGGTCCAACACTTTTCAAATCCCTAGCCACTTGATCATAGCAAAACTCTTGAAGCCCAACCACTGTAAACACATCAGCCAAACCATTCAACACGTATTGAGGAACCAACCACCAGAACTTCATTGGAATCGTCATGTCCGGTCTATCGATTAGACTGTGTTCGAGGGCGGTTTTCAAACGTTTTTTCTCGACCAGGGATGCAACCACCATAGAGATAGTTGATATGATCATCCCGGATCCGATTCTTTGTAATGTTGTTATGCCCGATGAGTTTCCTGTTACTGTTTTGGCAATGGGAACGAACACGAGATCATAGACCACGATGAAGATGACGATTGTAAAGGAAATAATTGCCTCGAGTGACGCGGCGGGAACGGTGAAACCTGATGAAATTGTTCTGTCTAATGTTGCTGCTTGTTTGGTGAAGAAGGTGGCGTCTTGTGAGAACACAATGGTGAACACACTAAGTGTAGCCCATATTAGAAGAATTCTGAGAATTGCCTTTGCTTCTTCAACCTCGCTGATGCTACACACCGTTGCGTTTTGGTTTGAATCGATGGGAATGATGCAAGCTTTATTGAGAAATCTGTCACACCAAAGGAGGAACGGTTAGGAACCACGAACCTCCACAATGACTTTGCTTTGGTTTCCCAAAAAGCCTCGTAGCAATAGAGATAGTATTCCTTATTTATAAACCCATGATCTTCTCCCTTAATTAACAAATGTGAGAATCCCTCCCAACAATCCTCAACAATCCTCCGGTCGAACAAAGTATACCATGTAGCCTCCCCTGAGGTCTATGGAGCCCTTGAACAGCCTCCCCTTAATCGAGTCTCGACTCCTTCTCTAAAGCTCCTCTCGAACAAAGTACACCATAGAGCTTCCCCTGGGGCCTATAGAGCCCTTGAACATCCTCTCCTTAATTAAGGCTCGACTCCTTCTCTGGAATCTCTTCCCAAACAAAGTACACCATAGAGCCTCCCCTGATACCTATAGAGCCCTCAAACATCCTCTCCTTAATCGAGGCTCGACTCCTTCTCTGGAGTCTCCTCTCGAACAAAGTACACCATAGAGCCTCCCTTGAGGCCTATAGAGCCCTCGAACATCCTCTCCTTAATCAATCCTCGACTCCTTCTCTAAAGTCTCCTCTCGAACAAAGTACACCATAGAGCCTCACTTAAGGTCTATTGAGCCCTCGAACATCCTCCCCTTAATCGAGGCTCGACTCCTTCTCTAGAGCCCTTAAACAAAGTACACCATTTGTTCGATACTTGAGTCACTTTTGGCTACACCTTCGAGGCTCACAACTTCTTTGTTCGACAATTAAGGATTCTATTGACATGACTAAGTTAAGGGTATGACTCTGATACCATGTTAAGAATCACAAACCTCCACAATGGTACAATATTGTCCACTTCGAGCATAAAATCTCGGTTTCCCAATTTTTTCAAAAGGATTCATACCAATGGAGATAGTATTCCTTACTTATAAACCCATGATCTTCCCTTTACCAACGTGGGACTCCCTTCCAACAATCCTCAACCAGAACTATATGAAAACATCATAAGTGTCAATAAGAAAGAGAAAACAATGGATATTGCAGCATTCTTACTTGAATTGGTGAGAATTTGACAAATCTTTGCCGATCGTTGAGGGAGAAGCTCTCCAATTCCTAATAGAAGCCACAAACACTCGACCAACTCTCATAAACGGGCTCTTATTTGATTGCTTGACGGTAAACCGATACGTCTTGGTACCGAGAAGGAAAACAATGAAACCAGTGAGCATTGCAGCACAAGGAATTCCAAATCCAAGACTCCAACTAAGATTCTCTTGTGCATATGCTATAGTTGGAATGGCTACTACGATTCCTGAGCAGGCACCAAAATACCACCAATTGAAGAAGGAGCTCTTGAATTTGGCCTCTTGAGGATTTTGGTCATCGAATTGATCGGCCCCAAAAGCCTGCACGCAGGGCCTGTGCCCACCTTGTGCTATCCCAATTAGACATAGAGAAGCGAAGGATAGAACGAGCTGAAGCTTGGGAGCCGAACAGGGCGTGGATTTGTTAGGGAGAGCACAAATGGAGGGGTTTGCCGTCGACAGAACCAACAATCCTAGTCCCTGTTCAAAATTCCCAAGTTTAAGGAAACAAGTGTTAGGATTGTACAACAATGCACATACTCGATCTAGATGAACACAAAGAACAGGAAAGAGAAAATGCGAAGAGGAATATTAGGTAAAGATTTATATTGATGGCTTCAGGTACGTAAAAATACCATTTGTAACAACCCAAGCCCAAGCCCAAGCCCACCGTTTACTACTCCAACAAGTGTCTCGCACCGTTCGGTGACTGGCTCTGATACCAATGTCTCGCACCGTTCGGTGATTGGCTTTGATACCATTTGTAACAGTCCAAGCCCACCGTTTACTATGGAGAGAGTCTAGCCCTACTCCAACCAGTGTCTCGCACTGTTCAGTGACTAGCTCTAATACCACTTATAACAGTCAAAGTCCACCGCTGTCCTCTTTGGGTTTTCCCTTCTGGGATTCCCCTCAAGGTTTTACAACGCGTCTATTAGCTGTCCTCTTTCGGTTTTCCTTTCTCGGATTCCCCTCAAGGTTTTACAACGCGTTTATTAGCGGTCCTCTTTGGGTTTTCCCTTCTCGGATTCCCCTCAAGGTTTTACAACGCGTCTTTTAGGGAAGGGATTCTATGCCTTATAAACGCATCTATTAGGGAGAGGTTTCCATGCCTTAGGGAGAGGTTTCCACGCCTCATAAACGCGTCTATTAGAGAGAGGTTTCCACGCCTCATAAACGCATCTATTAGAGAGAGGTTTCCACGCCTCATAAACGCGTCTATTAGAGAGAGGTTTCCACGCCTCATAAACGCGTCTATTAGAGAGAGGTTTCCACGCCTCATAAACGTGTCTATTAGGGAGAGGTTTCCACGCCTCATAAACGTGTCTATCAGGGAGAGGTTTCCACGCTTTAAGGAGTGTTTTGTTTCTCTCTCATTTGAGAGAGAGAATACAGAAAATGCAGCATCACTACTCCCTAATGGGTATATATATAGTTTCATGTATATAACTTTATCAGATAGATATAACCACCTCCTCTATATAACTTTATCAGATATAACAACTAAGCGATCAGAACAAACATCCAATCGAAAGCCAACCAAGAACAAAAGAAAACATTGCCCTCAGCTACTGAATTTCAATTTCACAAACATTAGCAAATAAAAAAGAGAATGAATGATCAGAGAAAGAGGGATACCAAAAGGTAAGAAATAGATGCAAAAACAATGGTACGGTATCGTCCAAAGAAGGAATCAGCAACAAAGGCTCCAAAGAGAGTGAGGAGCATGGAGGTGCCAGACCAGACATTGACAATCTCAGCCGCCGCCACCATGGAAATGTGGAGCGGACCTGTCAAGTAAATTATGAGGTTGGCGCCGATTCCATAGAAAGCAAATCTCTCAGCAACCTCCATCCCTAAAATGGTCAACAAGGAGAATGAATCGATGAAGGAGGTGGAGGAGATGAGATAATTAGGGATTTGGTTTACCTATAATGAAAGAGGCGGAGCTCCATGTGCCGGAGGAGGATCTGAGAAGTGGGCGACCTTTATAATCGACGGCGCCGTGGACGGTGTGGCTGAGCAGCGGAGTTGAGTGGTCCATGGCTGGAAGAACAGAAGAACAGCAGCCACAGAAACAGTATGAATTCGATTGGAGAGCCGTCGGGGTTGAAAAGGGTTACTTTCTTTTGGAACTATTTGTAGTGTCGCCTTCTCCAAACCCTCCATTTGTGTTGGAATTGATTCACCACAAAAAGTGTTGGGGGCGGGATTTCTAAGAACATATTAGGCTCATGCTCACAAGTGGAAAAGAGATCTCAAGATAAAATGAGATTACAACCGACATTTCAAAATTTACTTTTTTTTTTTTTTTTTTCATTTTTTTTCATTAGATTATATTCCATGTTTTTCTTCTGAATTGTTCGGTAATAAATCTAAATTAAAAAAAATAAATGTCAATATTGTTTTAGTATTTGGATCATATAATTCAAATATTATTTTAAGTTGTAATAAACTTTTTCCAAGAGAGAATTGAGGGAAGAGTTTGTAAGAGATTGGGAGAGAAGTTTGGGAGAGGGTATTGAGGATTATTGGGAGGGAGTTACAAGTTGACTAATTAAGAGGAAAAACATATGTTTATAAATAAGGAATACCATTGTTACTAGCCCTTAATCTGATTATTATAAAGGACGAATAAGCTTCATTGATACGAGACCTTTTGGTACCAAGTCCTTTTGATTATAAAGGAGAAATAATCTTCATTGGTACAAGACAGATAATCTCCATTTGTACGAGACGGATAATCTCTATTGGTATAAGACCCTTTGGTACCGAACCCTTTTGGTTATAAAGGAGAAATAATCTTCATTGGTACAAGACCATTTGGGTAACCAAAACCAAAATCACTAGAGCTTATGCTCAAAATAGACAATATCATATCAGTGTGAAAGTTTATATGCTCAAGATAGACAATATCATATCATTGTGAGTGTGAAAGTTCATGATCGATCTAGTTAGCTATATTGAGATCATCATGTGGTATTCCTCCTATTCTAAATGTAAGCTCCTGTTCTTGCCAAGGATGGAAAAAAAGGCAGATTATCCTACTCCATAGACGATTTAAATACACAGCTTTAAATTACAATGCTAGCAAAACAGACGTGTTCATGTGGCATTCCCCTTAGTGTATATGTATGTTCTTGCAAAACATGAGAAAGCAGCAAACCCAATAGCACTAAGCCCAACAAGCAACCAGTAAAAGTAATCAAGATGAGCTTTGTTCAGATTATTATCAAACCAGCTTTCTTTGCCATCCCCACTGCTTAATTTTTCAATGGCAGATATGAGAAAGCTGCTCAAAAAGCTGCCAACGCCAAAAATACTCAGATACAGGGAGAGACCGATGCTTCTCAATCCACTTGGAACCTGGTCATAGAAAAACTCTTGCAACCCAACCATCGTGAAAGCATCAGAAATTCCAATAAGTAAATATTGAGGAACCAGCCACCATATACTCAGAGGAATAGTCGCCTTTGGCATATCAACTAAACCATATTCTTGAGCTGTTTTGAGCCTTTTCACCTCGACTAATGCAGCAATGACCATGGAAAGAGCAGATAATATCATCCCAAATCCGATTCTCTGTAGCATTGTAATTCCAGAAGGTTTCCCGGTGAAACATCTTGCAATCGGAATGATTATGCGATCGTATATTAGGATGGAAATGCCAATGGACAGACTGATAAAGGATTGAAGTGAAGCAGCAGGTACTTCAAATCCAGGAACTATTGATCTGTCCATTGTGACTCCTTGTTTTGTGAAGAAAGTTGATGACTGAGAGAATACAATACCATATGCCAAGCATGTAACCCATATGGGGGCAAGCCCTACTAATGATTTTGCTTCCTCAACTTCACTGGTAGTACAAGCATGACCATCTTCCTTCAAACTATTAGGTACAATCAAAGCTTTGTCTAGGAACCTACCAAATTATAGAATTCAGTAAAGAAAAGGGTTACGATAATGCATACAATATAAAATGGTGTTAGGATTGCAGAATAATGCACTCTCGATCTAGATTAACACAAAGAACAACAATACACACACTCGATCTAATGAACACAAAGAATAGAGAGAAAATGCCTAGATGAACAAAAGTACATCTTCAAAGAACTGACTAAGGGGTATATATATGTACAGAAAATACAAAAAAACAGAGAAAACATTCACTAAATATATATATATATATATATTAGTTTACTATATATATATATATAGCTTTAACATATAACCACTTACTATAAATACCTACCCTATATTCCTCTTTTACTATAAATAGTCGTTTAGCCTTCTTTTAGTCCTCTGATTTACCTGAACTGTTGAGAGCTATGGTGCGGTAAAAGGCCAAGGGTTTCCTCTTCATGAGCTATTTCTGAAGAAATTACTCGCCAATTTTGTACTGCCATGATAAACACCCGTCCAATCCTCACAAATGGGTTTTCCACATCTCCTTCGCTACTGTACCTGTACGTCTTAGTTCCAAGCAAGAAGACTAGCAGTGCAAAAACCATAGCAATACAAGAAATTCCAAACCCAAGACTCCAGCTAAGGTTATCTTGCACATAGCTCACTGTAGTAAATGTTGCAGAAGTGGCCACAGAAATACCAAAGTACCACCAATTAAAGAAAGAGCTTTTAGCTTTGCTCTCTTCCGGATGTTTTCCATCAAATTGATCGGCTCCGAAAGCTTGTACGCAAGGCTTATGTCCCCCTTGCGCAAATGCCACAATATATAAGGAGAAGAAAAATAAAACTACGTGGACGAGACTGGGGGAACATGGTACACGGTTTTCTGCCTGTTGGCAGGCAGGAGTGCTGGAATAAGGTAATGTTGCAGACACAGTCAACAATCCAAGTCCCTGAATTCCACGCAAAAAAATAAAAGAAACAGACATCACATTTACTTTTAAGCATGGTCTACATGAATAAGTGCTCTGCCAGCTTAAACCAAATGTGAAATTCAATTTTATGGCTAATATTCAGAGGAAAATTCAACACCAATGCTTATGAAAAGCGAATAGACAGCAAAGGAAATGTATTTGCTCAAGTAAAATGGTTCAGAGGATGAATTCATAAGGGATTGAGCCAACAGATTGCGGTGAGAGTCCCTTAGGTAATTGGGTGGAGACCGTGATCTAGATGATCTTCAAGGTGCGTTAACTATGTCAGTGGAAACAGCAGTACCTAAAGTAATAGGCTCAGGTGCAAGGGAAGGAAATTCTTCTTCAGGTGTGCACCAACATCATACATAATAGGCTCGGGTGCAATAGCTACTTCAGGAGAGTCACCATTTTCAACTACTCCAGCCACAAGACAAGGTTACACAAAATCCTTGAGGAAATCTGCTGTGGATGAACAATCAATATTGGGCTGTGATTGAAAGAGAAATAATTCCTCTAAAAATATAACATTTCTTGAAACAAAGAACTCCTGCTTTGAAATATCAAAATGCTTATAGTCTTTAATGTCTCGAGAATATCCAATAAATACACATGGTGGAGCCCTTGGATAAAATTTAGAGACATTTGGCTAAATAGAATTCAGCCTTTTCTAAAGCTAAATCAGAAATTATCCGCATACAACACGAAAGCCGTGAAACATGTAGCAAAATTTCAACTCGACTGGAATGGATTGAACTCTTGGAGGGCATGATTCGCTCAAGATCAGGATCACACAACAACCCTGAACTCTTGGAGGGCATGATTCACTCAAGATCAGGATCTCACAACAACCCAGACACTCCTTGATGAACACAGGGAAGAAGAGAGATGTACAATGTACAATAAGGGAGAATATAGAGAGTACATTTTCAAAGTACTAGGGTATATATATGGTACACTACCTAGGTATATATATGGTTCAATTTACGGGTATATATGGTTCAGTTTGTCTTATAAGGTTTATATTGATGGCTCCATATATTACCATAAAAGAGATTATTATACATAGCTATTTATTGTGTTTATGAATTACTTCATATATCATTTAACATATATAGCTTACTATGGAGTAAAAGAAAACTATTCGTCAATTCAAGCTTGTTTCGGCTAAATCGCCTTGCCTTGCAGGAACTAAAATAATCCTGAATTACCAGAGCTCTAGCGAGTAACTTGCATAATTTAGTAACAAAGGTAAAGTAAAGTAAGAGAAGGAGAGAATAAAGTAGTGGAGGAACCAGAATGTAAAGTGCAGAGGAAAGAGCGATAGTGCGGTATCGTCCGAGGAAGGAATCGGCCAGAAAAGCTCCGAGTAGAGGTAGCATCATGGCGACTCCGGACCAGACATTGATATTCTGCGCTGCTGCGGCCGTGGAAAGCCGGAGCTCTTCCGTTAAGAAGTTAATCAAGTTGGAGGCGATTCCGTAATAGGCGAATCTCTCGGCAACCTCCACTCCTAATCAGAACGGGAGAGGATAAAGAAATTGGATCGGGAAAGAGAAGAAAGAGAAGAGGCGAACCTATGATGAAGGAGGCGGATCTCCAGCCGCCGAATTGGGATCTGCGGACTGGGCGGCCATTGTAATCGACAGCACCCTCCACCGTCTCATCCAACAAAGGAGCCTCCATTTTGGCGTCGGAGTGTGGAGGCAGAACCGATCGAAAAATTGGACTGATCACTCCATTTCTGAATCCGGAAGAAGTTTTATTACCAGTTCATTGCATCATGATCCGTATGAAATTATTGTATCGGCCACGATGTTAGCGTGTGATTAATTAATGTGAGTAGCAGGATTAAACAAATTGAACGAGGTTGCTGCTACGTTTTTTATGCGAAAACTGACGAGATTGTTTGAGAGGTCCTTATGATTCTCCTCTTAGTTACTTAGTGAATGTAGATTACTCCTCAATAATTTTCAACCACTTAAAGTAGAGTCAAGATCGAGAGTAATTATTCATGAAGTGCAAGCCAAGAGCAGAAGTGAGTGTTCATCACATGAGTTAGATGCTTGAGCAAGAATGATTGATTAGGGCAAAGAGGTGGACGTGAGAGCTCAAAGGAAGGGAACTTCCATTAAAGAACAATAACAAAACTTGATAACGCTCTAATTCTTTATTCTATCAATTCTATACGATTGAGATCAAGTCTATATTTGTAACGCTCTAATTTCATATTTTCTCAAATCAAGTCTTATTCACAAAACACTATACAATGGACTTCATTAGTTACACGTCGAACTCTTTACCTTATATCACTTTTTTGCTTTCCTTTACTGCATTCCTGTTCTATAATTACTTTCTTGTTTTTTTTCTAAGAGTATGACACTTAGTAGACATGAAATGAACTAGTTGTCAAAATCTCCGAAAATTTATAATCTCTTTCAATCTTATTTTCAAACTCTCTTTCAAAATCTCTCTGCCCTCGCTTTATAAAACCTTCTCAAATTCGAGCCACAGGCTTGAGTATATGTTGTCTGGTCGTAAGCAACGTGATCCGAAGTTGACTTCACTCACTCAGTGCAGAGAGTAAGTGTCGCACAACCGTTGTCATGGATTGTGACACAAACCATAGGAAAGACTTGTAAACAGGTAAAAGTCCTGGAAATCTGAAGACCATTCTAAACAATGGAATCATATTCCAATCGCTCGGTTTCAATACATAGCTTTTAAATTACAATGCTCCAAAACAGTCTTGTTCATGTGGTATTCCCCTTACTGTAGATGTAAGTTCTTGCAAAACATAGGAAAGCAGCCAACCCAATAGCACTAAGCCCAGCAAGCAACCAGTAGAAGTAATCAAGATGAGCTTTGTTGAGATTACTATTGAACCAGCTTTCTTTGCCATCCCCACTGCTTAGTTTTTCAATGGCAGAGATGAGAAAGCTGCTTAAAAAGTTGCCAACGCCAAAAATACTCAGGTACAGCGAGAGACCGATGCTTCTTAATCCGCTCGGAGCCTGGTCATAGAAAAACTCCTGCAACCCAACCATGGTGAAAGCATCGGCAACTCCAAATAGTACATATTGAGGAACCAGCCACCATATACTCAAAGGAACAGTCGCCTTTGGCAGATCAACCAAACCATATTCTTGAGCTGTTTCGAGCCTTTTTATCTCGACTAATGCAGCAATGACCATGGAAAGAGCAGATAATAGCATCCCAAATCCAATTCTCTGTAGCATTGTAATTCCAGAAGGTTTCCCAGTGAAATTTCTTGCAATCGGAATGAGTATGCGATCATATATCAGGAGGGAAACGACAATGGACAGACTGATAAAGGATTGAAGTGAAGCAGCAGGTACGTCGAATCCGGGAACTATTGATCTGTTCATCGTGACTCCTTGTTTAGTAAAGAAAGTTGATGACTGGGAGAATACAATAGCATATGCTAAGCATGTAACCCAGATGGGAACAAGCCTAAGTACTGCTTTTGCTTCCTCAACTTCACTGATGGAACATGTATGACCGCCTTCCTTCGAACTATTGGGTACAATCAATGCTTTGTTGAGGAACCTACCAAAGTAAAGAATCCAGAAAGAAAAGGGTTACAATAATACATATAAACTAAAATGGTATATAAATCAATGGGTGAGATCCCACGTACGTTGGAGAGGAGAACGAATCATTCTTTATAAGGGTATGGAAACCTCTCCCTAGAAAATGCATTTTAAGACCTTGAGGGGAAGCTCGGAAAGCTCGGAAAGCTCGGAAGGGAAAGCCCAAAGAGGACAATATCCGCTTGCGGTGGGCTTGGGCCGTTACAAATGGTATTAGAACTAGACACTGGACGATGTGCCAGCAAGGAGACTGAGCCCCGAAGGGGAGGCGGTGTGCCAGCAAAGACGCTAGGCCTTGAAGGGGGGTGGATTGGGGGTTCCACATCGATTGAAGAAGGGAACAAGTGCTAGAGAGGATATTAGGCCCCAAAGGGGGTGGATTGTGAGATCCCACATCAGTTGGGGTGGAGAACGAAGCATTCTTCATAAGGGTGTGGAAACGTCTCCCTAGAAGACGCGTTTTAAAACCTCGAAGGAAAGTCCGAAAAGGAAAGCCTAAAGAGGACAATATCTGCTAGCGATGGAATTGAGCTTGTGGGTTGTCGGTTGTTACATAATGGTTAAATTTCTGACGAGAACAGAAATAATCCAGTACATTTTACCCTTCTTTTAGTCTCCTTATTTACCTGAACTGTTGAGAGCTATGGTGTGGTAAAAGGCCACGGATTTCCTCTTCATGAGCTATTTCAGAAGAATTTACTCGCCAATTTCTTACTGCTGTGATAAACACTCGTCCAATTCTTACAAATGGGTTTTCCTCATCTCCTCTGTTAATGAACCTGTACGTCCTAGTTCCAAGCAAGAAGACTACGAGTGCCAAAACCATAGAAATACAAGGAATTCCAAACCCAAGACTCCAGCTGAGGTTATCTTGCACATAGTTTAAGATATTAACAGTTGCAAAAGTGGCCAAAGAGATACAGAAATACCACCAATTGAAGAAAGAGCTTTTAGCCTTGCTCTCTTCTGGATGTTGTCCATCAAATTGGTCAGCTCCGAAAGCTTGGACGCAAGGCTTGTGTCCACCTTGAGCAAATGCCACAACATATAAGGAGGAGAAAAATAGAATTACTTGGAAAAGGCCAGGGGAACATGGTAGGGATTTTTCAGTCTGTTGGCAGCCAGAAATGCGGGGAGAATGAAGCGTTGCAGACACAGTCAACAATCCAAGTCCCTGAGTTTCAGAATCAACAAAATAAAAAACAAAAAAAACGAAAAAAGTTAAACCTTGTTGAGAATTGTTGGGAGGGAGTCCCACGTTAGCTAGTTAGCTAATTAAGGGAATGATCAAGGAATATATATCCTTTGGTATGAGGCCTTCTGGTGAAACCAAAAACCATGAGAGCTTATGCTCAAAGTAGACAATATCATACCATTGTGGAGATTCGTGGTTCTCAACATAGTATAGAGTCATGCCCTTAATTTAGTCATGTCAATAGAATCCTCAAATGTTGAACAAATAAGTTGGGAGTGTCGAACAAATGGTGTACTTTGTTCGAGGGCTCCAAAGGAAGGAGTCGAGCCTCAATTAAGGGGAGGCTATTCGAGGGCTCCATAGACCTTAGAAGAAGCTTTATGGTGTACTTTGTTCAAGGAGAGGATTGTTGAGGATGGTTGGGAGGGAGTCCCACCTTGGCTAATCAAGGAAATGATAGTGGGTTTAAGGAATAATCTTCATTGATATGAGGCCTTTGGGAGAAACCAAAAGCAAACCTAAATATAGTTGCGAAGATTTGTGATTCCTACGGGTATTGGAGAACATGAATTTAGAGTTTGTTTGGGCTATAAAATATTACGTGAAAGATCAATCGCTTTACAGGAACTAAACAATCCAAACTACCAGAGCCCTAGCCAGTAACTTGCATAGTCTTCTAAACTTTATAGGAAAAAGAAAAGGCAGTAAAAGAAGAGAATAAAGTAGAGGAGGAACCAGGATGTAAAGGACAGTGGAAAGAGCAATGGTACGGTATCGTCCGAGGAAGGAATCAGCCAGAAAGGCGCCGAGTAGAGGCAGCAAGGAAGCGGCACCCGACCAAGCATTGACATTCTCCGCCGCTGTGGCCGTCGACTGGCCAAGCTGGTCGGTCAAGAAGCTAATTAAGTTGGAGGAAACTCCGTAGTAGGCGAATCTCTCGGCAACCTCCACTCCTAACAAGAATTGGAGAGGATACAGAAATTGGATCGGAAAAGAGAAGAAAAAGAAGAGGCGAACGATGATTTACCTATAATGAGGGCGGCGGATCTCCAGCCGCCGGAATCGGATCTCCGGACTGGGCGGCCATTGTAATCAACAGCACCCTCCACCGTGTCTTCCAAGAGAGGAGCCTCCATCTTAGCGTTTAGTGCGGAGGGAGAGCCGCCTCAAATCCCAAATCCCAAATCCCAAATCCCAATCACTCACTCCCGATTCCACTTTCCAATTATTAGGATTCTACTACTCACACTCATCTAAATCGTATTGATGATTTCATATTTGTATGAGAGGACAGAGATACTTGACAGATTCAGCTTACTATATATAGCTTGATATAACCAGGTAAGTATCTAGTTTTATTATAATTTTATTAGTATTTACTATAATAGTTGACTAAACTATAAATAAATTGGCTCATGACCTAACAATTCTTTTAATTGGACACTGATCTAGTCAATCAAGAATTTCACTCTCAAACGATCATGAGCATCTTCACTGCACTATACCAATTGAAGCTTTGCACAACCTCAATATTCCAACATCAACACATTTTGTGAACATGTTTGCTGGATATTTTGCACACTTTATCTTCTCCAAACACGTCGTCATCTTCCACTAACCTGCGAGTGAAATGGTATCGCCTTCTGTGTTTTGTCTTTAAATGATAGATCGAGTTCCTCACCAACTCTATGGCACTCTGACTATCTCTATAAAGAATATTTTCGTGTTGCTTCTTGCCCAATTCTTCCAAATAGTTAATCATCCACATCATCTTCTTTTCAGCTTCACTTATTGCCACGTACTCAGCCTCAGTACAACGCATATTTGAAGCCTAGACATCCCATCATTCATGGCTTGCTTCCGCTTGGTTGTATCCTTCAACTGTAGAACCTCATCAAAGGGTTCTGGTTTCCTTTCATCAGCAACAGATAGTGTAATGAAGGTACATATATATCTGGTACTCTGATAGTACTAGATGATCTTCTCAATACCGGTTTAGGTGTCACTTGCTCTACCGCTGGTTCCTCTGCAACAATCTCAGAAGTTTCTTGAGTATCTGCTACAACATCACTAGGTGGTTTTTTCCACAACTCAACCTCAACTCTCACTTGCGTCCTTGTCTTAAAACCTTGCTCCACATATGGTTCCTTAGCAGTAGTCTCAGGAGTTTCATGAGTATCTGGTAAAACATCACTAGGTGAGCTTCCCTGCAACTCAAGCTCAACTCCCACTTGCTTCTTGGTCTTGGAATCTTGCTCAACATTTGGTTCCTCAGTAGTAGTCTCAAGAGTTTCATGAGTATCTGCTACAACATCACTACGTGAGTCTCCCCGCAAATCAAGCTCAACTCCGACTTTCTTCAATCCTTTGGCAGTCCTTGTGAAGCTAACTCGTTTTCAGACCTTCTAAAACTTCTTACGCAGCCAGTATCTTCATCCCTTTCACGCTCATATGTTCAAGTCTATTGTGTCATAGACTTGAATTTGAAGCACTCTCAACAATAGTAGCTATGTTCATACACCCTGTAGTGGTGTATAAAGTTCCATATTTTATGTCACGTGCTACCACCATAGCACCCTTCATAATCTTCCACGAACTCTTCCCTAACTTTGTTGCATAACCTATGTTGTCCAACTGACCAATAGAGATCGGGTTCTTCTTGAGACCAGGAATATATCTGACATCCTTTAGTGCCCACTGATTTGCTGGCGGAGTTTTTATGCAGACATTTCATTTTTCTTTAATCTCAAAATCTTTGTTGTCGACAAGATACACCTTCTCAAAATTTCCAGATTTGAAATTTCGGAACAACTCTTTATTTGGAGACGAATGAAAAGATGCATCTGAATCCAAAATCCAGAGTTCAATAGAGCTATCCACACTGAGGATTAGAACATCCCTAATGTCTTCTGCTGAATTTATAAAATCATTATCATCTCCAAATTTGATTGCGCTTCCTCTTTGGTCTTGTACAACCTGTCCGAAAGTGACATTTTTCTCCACAATTCCAACACAATACGTTTGGTCTATTTGGAGATGTTTCCCAGTTCTTTGATTTTGATCGCCCTTTGTTTGGGCCCTTCGATTTACTTCTTTCCCGTTGGTCAACACTAAGAGCACTACCGGATGAAATTCCAGTTTCTCGTTTGCGAATACTTTCGCTGAGAACTACATCTCAAATTTCATCAAACTTCTGTTTATCAAATCTTCGGAAACTGTTGATTGCGGCAACAACAGTATCCCACAACTTGGGTAAAGATGACGTCAAAGTCAATGCTTTAATTTCATCATCGAAATTAATTTCCACCAAACTCAATTGACTTACGACCATATTGGATTCATTTATGTGATCAGCAATCGATCTACCTTCAGACATCTCTAGATTGAACAATCTCCGCATCAAATACACCTTGTTCATAGCCGATGGTTTTTCGTACATATTCGACAGTGCATTCAACATATTTGACGTTGTCTTCTCCTTGATGATGTTGAACGCCACGTTTTTGGATAGCGTCAACCGGAACAGCCCTAAGACTTGTCGATCCTTGAGCTTCCACTGCTCCGTGGTCATGGTACCCGGCTTCACCCCCAACAGGGGTTCGTGAAGGCCTTTCTAATACAGATAATCTTCAATTTGCATCTTCCAGAAATCGAAATCGGATCCATCGTACTTATTAATTCCAATCTTTGAACTTTCTATCTTCACAGATCGTGGTGACTTCCACCTAGCTCTGATACCAGTTGTTAGGATCGCACAACAACGCACACACTCGATCTAGATGACCACAAAGAACAAGATAGAGAAAATGCAAGGAGAATATTGACTAAAGAATTTGTATTGATGACTACAAATATGTACAGTAAGAGAGAATGCAAAGAATATAGAGACAAAGCTCTGTCGATGGATATATATGGTTTAGCTTACTATAGGGGGATATGACTAATTGTCAACTTCTCCCTACCAAAGGTTATATAATGTGAGCCGTTGTTGTTACTCTCTTGCTTGCTTATATAACGTCTCTTTCAAAATTTCTTTTTCGAAAATCTCTCTCTGCCCTCGTTTTCTAAAACTTTCTTCTTAAACTGAAGCCAGAGGCTCGAACATACGTCACTTGGCCGTAGGCAACGTAAGAACGAATTGGCTTAGCTCACTTGTCATTGGAAAGTGAGTGTCGCACAATCGCAAGTCCGTTGCCATCAAGAGTGCGATTGTGACATCTAGCACATTTTTATGTATGTCTCATAAGGGAATTCATGCCCTGAAAAGTATGGAAGTATGATGTACATCACAACTTAAGATATGCCACCCTCATGCATGTTGTATGTCACAAATACAGGTTGATTCCCTAATCTGTTACGTATATGGTTGCACAACAATGATATAATACACACTCCTTTCTTTCCATTGGTCTCTGACAAGCATGAGCATGTGTTAGCCCGTAGTCAAACCAAAGAAGTACATATACAATCCCGCCTAGTGGGTTATGCGTACGTGTGCAAACCGTGTGTATAGAAGTATTATGCATCCAAACCTATCCGAAAAAGAAAGTAAAGACTAAGGAGTAATCACGAAAAATATGTCCCACCATAAACTATGATTGTATTTTATTGCATTTTTCGACTCGAATAGTAAGATCACATACGAGTATTTTTGCTTTACCTCCAGAAATAAGCTCAGGGAATAGAGGTTCAGGAGAATGCATGTTTCATTTGATTCTCCGAGGAAATACTGAAAGTACGTTTTACATTTTTTTGAATAAAGGTAAGACGCCTATATACCGACGACAACATTAAATAAGGCCCGCCCTTTGGATTTGGGCTAAATTATCACTTAATGAGCCTTTTTTTTTTCCACTTATTTCAATCTAGGCCCAAATGAAAATTTGATTATTTTATTTGTAATTTAAAATAATTTAAAAAATTAATGTTATTAGAATAATATGTGATTGACGAGAGAATCGTGATTAAGTAATAACTTAAAGAGTCTTTTTCACATATTGTCATTTTAGCGCCCATGAGTATTCTTCGATTCAATTTTTTTATATATTAGATATGTTAAATGAATAATTAGAATTATTTTTTGGAAATGAATCTTAACGAACGCAACAAATTGTTGATGACATATTATTCAATGTGAATGATGTTTCAATCTAACATACAAACTCGATAACCTAACGATGTGGGATCTCATAATCCATCTCCCTTAGAGGTTCAGCATCTTTGTTGGCACACCGCTCGGAGTTTACCACTTGTAATAGTCCAAGTTCACTGCTAGCATATATTATTCGCTTTAGCCTGTTACGTATCGTCGTCAGTCTCACGATTTAGAACGTGTCTACTAGATAGAGGTTTTAACACCATTATAAGGAATGTTTCGTTCCTTTCTCCAATTGATATGGGATCTCTGACTAGTATTTGACCTAAAACTTATATCATTCCGACATGTAGTTAATTAAGTCCAAGGGAGAGCATTCAAAGAAATCTCAAAGGTTGACAATCGAATGAGACTTTTGACATAAAATTAGTTAGTTAAATTAGTTAAACCAATAGTATGATCACTGAGATATCTATGAATAATAAAAAATATATAATTTTGGGTATAGAATTAAAGATCTGATATTTATAAGATACACTAATTCTGTTATTCAAGCTCACCGCTCGCTAGCAGATATTGTTCTTTTTAAGTTTTTAATTTAACTATCTTTTTAAATGGGTCGGTTAGTTGGAGAGAGAAAAAAAACATTCTTGATAGGTTTCATTTCTTTCTTCGTTGACCCACTTAATGCCTAAAGCTTCAATACAATATTTATTATGTGTATTGGGTGTTACATGGTGTAACACCCGAGCTTAGGAGGTCAAAGAGACCGAGACTCAAGTCGGTGAAGAAGGAAACTGTGCTCATGATGGTTGTAAGAATGAAAAAAAAAAATGGACAAGCGAAACATAGGGGGAAAATGGTCATTTTGCCCCAAATCCTAAGTATGGATATAGTTGGGTCATGACAAGAAAAAGAAAGAAAGAACCACATTAATTGTAGAGGATAACAAAACATTCTTGATAGTGTGGAAACTTTTTTCTAACTGACTTGTTTTAAAAACCGGGAAACTCGAAAGAGAAAGCCCAACAGTAGACTTGCTCTATTACAAGTTCTTATATAAATTTAGATAAATCTATGTTAAGATTGTTAGACGAACAT